AGCCCATCCCGATAACATTTACCAAAGTTTATTCCGTGTTTTAACATTTCCTTCTTTAGAAGATTTTAAATACTTTTAACATTTTTGTTCATCAAGATTTTTAATGGAATTTGAGAATAATCGAGCTAACATTTACACTTTGTAGTCTCAAACTTATCCAATTTGTATATAAAAAATATATAATTGGATTTATAATGCGTTTGTTTATTTGATTATATAAGTTTTCAGTTACAATATTTACAGATTTGAGTTTATGAATGAAAAGGAATTTTAATAAAGAAATTTCATACTTATAATCAGTTTCTTATTTGACGTGTATCATTTACACTAAATTTTTTGTGACATGTAAACAAATTATTTTAAATTTCGGATGTGAGTGATGTGTAGATCTGCATCTGCAAATGTATCTCTTAAACACAATAAAAAAAATAATATATATTATGAAAAACGGTGCGAACTAGCAGTTTCACTAATTTCCAGCGGAAAATTGAATCCGAATTATATTATGGACCATTTTTCACGAAATAATTAAAGTAATAGAAATAATCGTAGTAGTGGACCATAACAAAATTCATTACGAACAAATGCAAGATTTTCTAATGGTGGAACAGTGTCCTACACTCACCTAGCAAAAGTATCCATCCGACCACTTAAAAATTATCAATTATAAAGTAAATTTTTATCCGTTAATAACTTGTGATCTAACATATAAAAATGAGTCAACATTTTTTTTATTTAATTGCCCTGGTTTTGGGCTTTCATATGATATCTTAATTACTAATTTTGGATGCATAGTTGTCAAGAAATTTTGATTCAAATAACATCAACAAAAAATCGAATTCTGAAACTATAAAATTAACATTTATCGATCTCAATAGATATTAATCGTAACTATAAAGTATCTTATATATGAATTTGTAGCCAATAATATATGCTACAACTTTAATTAGTAAAGTATTTGATGTTTTCTAGTGAAAATTTTTACTTTACTTAAAACGATCAAAATTTACCGTTGATCATTTTACTATTTAAAAAAAATTATAAATAGTTCGCTCATATATAAGTTCATTTGTGACGAAAAAAATATTAAATATGATACTAAGTGAACTCAAAGAAAATATTATTGCGCATTTAATAAGAGTTTCAGGCCTGTATCATTATAATTGATAGAATAATTAAAGAAAACGTTTTTAAGCTTAAACGTTAATTATTCAATCAATTCTAATGATATAGAACTAAAAGTTTTACAGTAGATGCACAATAATGTTCTCTTTGAGTTCACTTAGTATCATATTTAACATTTTCTTCATCAAAGATGAACTTTATATGAGCGAACAATTTATAATTTTCTCTAAATTGTAAAATGATCGACAATGATATGATTTCAAGATCGAATTAATTAAATTATAAAAATTTTTTTTAAAAAAAAATCGCCTTATTTAGAGCTATCATATGATACATATGATATCTTGTTTGTTAAAATTGGATACTTAATTGCGCAGTAATTTTGAATTAAATAAAATTATCTAAAAATATCAAATCAAATTAATGATCGTAATGTCAATTGATTTCAATGAATATTTATTATAGATAATAACTATCTTATAGAAACTTGTAGCTAAGAATATAATCTACAACTTTAATTATAAGAATATCTGATATTTTCTATTGAAAATTTTGACTTACTTAGACATAACTTTAAATGTCTATAATTATTAAGAATATAATATCAACATAAAAATCTGAAAATGAATGCCAATTATAAAACTTTATTTTTTAATATATCTAAAAAAATTAGTTTTATTATAATAATTATTGTTACTTTATCAGTAATTAATAAAGCTTTATATACAAATGATAGTAATTTTTGAACTTTTTATTTAAATCATAATAATTATTATTTCCAAAATTTTTAAACAATAATTTTTCAAAATATAGTATATTAATATCAATCAAATTTTTTTTTTTACATAGTTAACAACTTATTTTCATTAAAAAAATTTCAATGCCTAAAACTCATGAACTTACAGAATTTGAATGTGATGAGATTATTGATCTTTGAAAATGAATGTGATATTTCAAGTATTCTTGATTTTCCTAAAACCATTATTCATGATACTATTGAAAGATACAGAAAAGGCAACCAAATTTCAAGTGCTTCTAGATCAGGTAGACCTCCTAAATTGTCTGAAAGAAATATTAGAGAACTTGTAAAGATTGTAAAAGAAAATTAACAACAATCTTTAAATGAAATAATTGAAAAATTTAATGATTTATCAATAGTTTCAGTTTTTTCTCATACTGTTCGGCATGCATTACATAATGAAGGTTTCTTTAGACATGCAGGAAAAAGAAAACCTTTAATATCAGAAGTAAATCATAAAAAAAGATTAGAATAGTGTCAAACTAGAAAAAATTGGGATTCAGAATGTGATAAAATAATTTAAAGTGATGAACCAAAATTTTTATTATTTCAAAATGATTCACATCATTGGGTTTGGCATCATCTACATGAAAAATATAATATAAATTATTTAATTCCAACTATTAAATCTGGAAATTAAGGTATATTGGTGTGGGGACGTTTTAATAAAAATAAAATTGGTCCTTTAATTCAAGTTTCTGGTAAAATATCAGGTTCTGTATATATAGAAATTTTGGAGAATCATCTATTGCCATTTATTAGTGAATTAGATAATAACTTAGAATATGATTTCCAAGATGATAATGCACCTGTTCACTATGCAAAAATAGTTAAGCAATGGATGTAAAATAATTCAGTAAAAAATATCCCTTGGCCAGCACAGTCTCCAGATCTTAATTCAATTGAACATTTATGGGATGTTTTGGAAAGGAAAGTTTGTAAACATGATCCACATCCAAAAAATCTTACTGAATTAATGGCCATTTTAGAAGAAGAATGGTATAGAATTGAACCTGTAGTTTTAGAAAATTTGGCAGATAGTATGCCTAGAAGAGTTCAAGCAGTGATAGATAGTCATGGAAATCCAACAAAATATTAATCGATCAAAATAAAATTTGTAATAAAATAATTAAATTTATTAAATAAAAAGTTTTTATAATATTATAATATAAATATTTAAAGTTATGTCTAAGTAAAGTCAAAATTTTCAATAAAAAAGATCAGATATTCTTATAATTAAAGTTGTAGAATATGTTCTTAGCTACAAGTTTCTATAAGATAGTTAGTATTTATAATAAATATTCATTGAAATCAATTGACATTGCGATCATTAATTTGATTTGATATTCTTAAATAATTTTATTTAATTCAAAATTACGGCACAATTAAGTATCCAATTTTAACTCTAAATAAGGAGATTTTTTTAAACAAAAATTTTATATGGATTAATTAATTAATTGTGTTATAATTGGCGTTTTCGATCTTGAAATCATATCATGTCGATCATTTTACAATTTAGAGAAAATTATAAATTGTTCGCTCATATAAAAGTTCATTTTTCATTAAGAAAATGTTAAATATGATACTAAGTGAACTCGAAGAGAACATTATTGTGCATCTACTGTAAAACATTTAGACCTATATCGTTAGAATTGATTGAATAATTAACGTTTAAGCTTAAAAACGTTTTCTTTAATTATTCTATCAATTATAATGATACAGGCCTGAAACTCTTATTAAATGCGCAATAATATTTTCTTTGAGTTCACTTAGTATCATATTTAATATTTTTTTCGTCACAAATGAACTTATATATGAGCGAACTATTTATATTTTTTTTAAATGGTAAAATGATCAACGGTAAATTTTGATCGTTTTAGATGTGTCTAAGAAAAGTAAAAATTTGCACTAGAAAATATCAACCACTCTATTAATTAAAGTTGTAGCATATATTATTAGCTACAAATTCATATAAGATACGTTATAGTTACAAATAATATCCATTGAGATAGATAAATGTTAATTTTATAGTTTCAGAATTCGATTTTTTGTTGATGTTATTTGAATCAATATTTCTTGACGACTATGCATCCAAAATTAGTAATTAAAATATCATATGAAAGCCCAAAACAAGGGCAATTAAATAAAAAAAAGTTGACTCATTTTTATATGTTAGATCACAAGTTATTAACGGATAAAAATTTACTTTATAATTGATAATTTTTAAGTGGTCGGATACTTTTGCTAGGTGAGTGTACCTTCAAGATACTTTACTTATGGAAATTATGCAAATACTTGCCCTAATAAAGGACCATACATTACAAAATCTACAAATCAACATTTAAGTCGCCAAAGAAGCTCTATTGATTCAAACAGCGTAATATTGATGATAATGAAGATAAAGTTATTAATAGAAAGTGTGCTAAATATATTGAATAAATTGTATAACGATGAGAATATATGAATAAGTTGTATAATGACGATGATAAAATAAACTTTAAATGAAATGTATATAGAATATACAATCTTATAATAATTTTGTAATATCAAATAAACATTTATTAGTAACAGTTTAAATATAATGATTTAATAAAAATTTGCGTCATCATTTACGAAGAGGATTTAATGTATTTATCATATGCAGAACACGTCTAACATGTGATCAATTATTTTTGTTTTACATACCATATTTTCTTGAAGAAAAGAAAGATAAACTTTATTACTTTTTGGCTCAATCAAAGCGCACCTTTCTAACAATGGCGCAATATTTGTTTGTGATTACAAAAATAGAATAATTCACTACTTGATGTACAAGCATTTGCATGGTTTACAGCTTGATGCCGTATTTGAGATACTTGATTCCAAACCAAAGTGGACAAAAATATTTTTTGATAACGAAGAGTAGATATCATAGTTCTGAGTTAATGACTATTGTTACTTATCGGAATCAATGGATGGTACCTGGAGAAGTTTTGATTCACATAATGCGCAGGCAATTTAATTATTATTTATAACAAAATTTATTACCAATACTTTATAGATTTCTCATGCTATCAAGAGATAAAACAGTCGAAGCATGGGTTACAAGATATGCAGCAGGCTTCATAGAGAAGCTGAACAAAGGGCTGCTGATAGTAGTAAAAGTAACAATGAGAAAGGAGAAAATAATAACGAAATTCTCAAATCTGAGCTTGATAGTATTTTATATTGCAAATATCACCAAGGTGTTTTCTATGAATACTAGTAAACGGCAAAGAAAATATTTTTGTGATTACATTTAATGGAATATAAAGTTTTACACAGTTTGTATTACAAATATTATTTTTTTTGACTAAAAGTATAAACATTGTATGTGCCGCATCAAGCTTAAAAGTTGAGATACACTTCTCAAGGAGATGTGCTCCATTAGGATTCGGCTGATCGGAGATTCAAATCCCTTGCTTTTATGATAAAGATTTTAACCTTATCAATTATCAGATACTATTTATTGTTTATACATTATTTATAAATTACCATTTATATAACAACAATAAAAGTAATAACTTCTTTACCATACTCAAAATCCAATTTATGTAAAAAAGTAAAAAGTATAAAGTAAACCATTTTCCTCTGTTTTTTTTTTTCATTACGACTTTATCATTTAAATAGAAGCTCAATTTAAAAAATAATGAATAGTACTATCAAAATTATCATAAAAATGACAAGATCAATTATTTTTTCTATGATGATAATTTGTTTAATGGGAATTTTTTTATTCCCTAGTTTGGTTCTTACAGAAACTTATATTTATGCTACCACTTTAACCTCAAAGAAAATTGCTAATGGAACTAGGGTAAAGAAAAAAAATTTGATAATAATAATAACGATAATGATGATAATAATAATAATAATCATAAATTAATGATATAATATAATAATAAACTGTTTAAAAAAATTAAATTTTATAAATTAAAACTAAATATTAAACTATATATAATATTTCAGCCTTCTGATGAATGCTATTACATTTCCACACCACGTCCTTTGGAAAATAAAAGCGTCAGTTGGGACTGTGAAGCTGGGTAAATGAAGAATTAAGGATTTCTGATCTTATTTTAAAATTTAATTTATTTATTTTAATAACTTCATTATTATTCCCTTATAGATATTATTGTCTCAATCTGGGGAACTCATCAAAATTCCCATGTACTGATGGATTTTATTGTCCAGAAAATAGTTAGTATAATTATTATTATTTTTTTTATCTTACTCATAAATTTAATAAATAACTAAAATTCTGAATATAAAACACTTGAAATTATATCCAATACATCTAAATAGGCGGTATGTATTATAAAAATTTTTCTTGATATAAATTCCTCATGCCACTCGTCAAATAACTTTACTAAATAATTTTCTATAAAATAGCACAGCCTGTTTATTGTTGTGCAGGTTACTATTGCGAAAATCCAAAAACAATCAAACTTTGCCCTGATGGTAAAAATAAAGAATATAAAATAGACTTTTCAATTTTTTTATTTTTTTTGATTTATTTGATTTATTTATATAATATTTTTATGATATTTTTAATAATAGGTCACTTTTGCCCTATAGGTAAGAAAAATATTTGATCAGGTCTTTTCTTTGCGAATTCTTTTACGTATATTTTTTTAAAATAAATATAGGAACCGTGAATCCATCATCTTGCCATTATATGGCTTTTTGTCCACCCGGATCAAAATCTGCCAATAAATATTTTATTGGAGTTTTAGTAACAGTCTTAATATTAGTGATCTTAATAGTATTCCAGATCAAAAAGAAAGCAGATGATGAAAAGGCTATAAAATATAAGAGATTATTAGTAGAACCCAGAATTGAAAATAGTGAAAAACCTTTAGATCGCGTTTCAAAAACGTTTGATATTGAATTTGAAAATTTAGGTTTAGTTTTACCTGATGGCACCGAAATTATGAAGGTAATTTTTTAATTTAATCATAATTCATATTTCATTATATTCCTACTACTTCTTTTTTTTCCTCTTTCTTTCTTAATAATCCAAACTATTTTTTAAGGGAGTTTCAGGATCATTTGTACATGGTAGAACGTGTGCGATCATGGGGCCATCTGGTTTGTATTTAAGTTTTTTTAAAAAATTTATAAAAAATTGTTAATAATATTAATAGAATTTATATATAACCTTTATATTTTGTTATTGTTTTTAGGTTCTGGTAAAACTACATTAGTTTCCCTTTTGACGGGAAAAGTAAGAAAAACCAATGGAACAATAAAAGGTATATAATATATACTCATTATATTTAATAATTCTAAATTATAGTTAGTATAAATTAATAATAGTGCGTTTACTATATAGTTAATGGAATTACAAAGTCTCTAAGTAATTACAGAAAACTTATTGGATTCGTACCTCAAGAAGGTTAATTAATAATATTCATTTCATTTCATATTCATTTTTTTAATTAAGAGAAAAAAAATAAATATTAATGTTATTTTTAATTTAGATATAATGCTCAGAGAGCTAACGATACGCGAAATTTTGGTGGTATGTTAATCTTTTATCTAATATTTAGAATTAATTTATTTAAATTTATTAAAGTTTATTTTTATTTACTTTACAAATCAAAAATATCTAGCATTCCGCACTAATGCGTTTGCCAACAGAAATGAAACGTGAGGAAAAGAAACAAAAGGTTATTGATGTTATCACATTTTTGGGATTGAGTCATGTTATGGATTATGCTATTGGCGATGAAGGTAATTTCTATTCTTTATTTTTTATTGGCGAAAAAAAAAAAAAAAAAAAAAAAAAATTAAAAAAAAATTCACCTAATAGTGTTACGAGGTATATCGGGTGGCCAAAGGAAGCGTACAAATATTGGAATGGAACTTGTAGCAGAACCATCTATCCTTTTCCTAGTAAGATTCATAAAAAATTATCATTAAATTAAAATTGATTAATTTATTGAAATATTTTTTATAGGATGAACCAACATCAGGTTTAGATTCAACAATAGCATTTGAAGTATGTCAATTATTGAAAAGCATTGCGTATGATCAAAATATTACAGTTGCAGCCATAATTCATTCACCATCAGTAAAATCTTTTAAAATGTTTGATGATCTTATGTTGTTGGGTAAAGGGGGAAGAGTTGTATATTTCGGGCCTCAGGATAAAGCAATGAAATATTTTAATAAACATGGATTTATTCTTCCCGAAGATGAAAGGTATTTTTGAAATAATTATTGAAATTTTCAAATAATTTCAATAATTTTATTAATAAATTCATTTATTTTTCTAGTGAACCTGATTTTATGATCGAAATAGCATCAGGAAGAGGTATAATAAAAAATAATATATTTAATATATTTAATATATTTGCACTAATCAATGTATTTACAATATATATTGACAAAGTTTTATTCATATGTATATAATTTTTGTTTATCAGTGAGACCAAGAGATAATAATTTAAGCTTAGCGAATCTTTATAAATTATGGGAATCTGAGAAAAAAAACGGGGCTTCATCAGTGGATAGTTATATTTCTAATGAAGGAGTAATGGTTGATGTTGGATCAACGTTAAATCCTGGATATGGAGAGAGAGAAAGAGAGAGCGGTGCAACAGGATTTTGGGCAACAATTTATCAAATTATGTATGATTCTTATCAATATGCGATTGATGTTGGATTAGAATTTTTTTATTTTCTTAAAGGACTTATTATTTGGAAAGATTCTGTTCGTCAAACGCCGAATGTTTTTACATCATTCATACTTTTATTTAAAAGAGCATGTTTACAAATTTATCGAAACAAATCAAGATTTTTGTTTGATCAATTATTACATCTTGGTTGCGGAGCGTTTGTTTCTTTGGCAACAAATAATCTTGATTATATTGGGCGAGCACCTGATCAGATATGTTCTATAACACCTTATGTTGAATCTCCGAGTTGTTTAAAGCCGAATGATAGCCTTCAGGTAAAAAAAAAAAAATTATTATAAATAATTATTTATAATAAAAAGGGTCTAAATTTTGTTTATTTCTTTTTAGACTGTAGGAGTATTTACAGCTTTGGGAATAACATTTTGTGGCATCAATGGTAAATTTATATAAAATAATAATATTTGTACAATATTGATATTAATATTAATTAATTAAATTAATTATTGTTGTTGTTATTTTTGGTAGCTGGAACAACAACATTTGGATATGAAAAAGTTGTATATTGGCGTGATACATCTTCAGGAATGAAAACTATACCTTATTTCTTGGCAAAAAGTATTGCAGACATTCCAAGGATCTTATTAGCAGGGCTAATGTTTTCATTAGCATTTATATTATTTTATTCATATCGAGCACGTTATAGTGAAATTTATGTTATTATTTTACTTACTTATATTGCGGCATGGGAATTGGGTAAATTATTAATATTTAATATATTTATCTTTATATTTTAATATCTTTAAAATGTATTATGATTATTTCTAGGTTATTTCTTATCCGCTATTTTTTCAAAAGAGAAATTAGGATTAATTGGAACAGGATTCGCTCTTGCTTTTGGCATGGTTTTAAGTGGAGCAACTCCTAGATTGGATACCGTTAAAGAAAATGATAGCCTGAGTTGGCTTTACTGGATGTTTGATGTAATTTTATTTATTTATTATTTATTTATTTTCATTTGTTTATTTATTTATTTTATTTATTTGCTTTATTTATTTACTTTATTTGTTTATTTTATTTATTTAGATTTCTGCACCAAGATGGTCTGTTGAAGCATTATATCTTAAAGAATTAGATCCAAGAAAGTATGTATTTTATTATATTTATAAATAGTTCGTAATTTCATTAATTTCTAAAATTTCATTAATTTCTAAAATTTCTAACAGATGGGTTGAAATTCATACAAAAAATCTAAACTATACGTATAGCTTTGACGATTATCCAAAAGTTTTGCATAATATATTACGTATTGCATTGGCATGGTCATGTCTAGCATTTTTAGCAATGAAATTGGTTAACCGAGATAAACAAAAATGATTATATAGATTTATTCATGTACAACTTTCATTAAATATTTTTGTTTTATTTTGTATTTATATTTTGTAAAAACCTCTTTTTTTTAAAAAAAAAAATTCAATATTTCTTCTCAATTTGGATTTTGCTATGATCTATATTATTTCACTGTATAATAAAAACTAGCATTGTTTTAAAACTTTATTTGGGGAAGTACATAGAAGTACATTGAATTCAAACAAACTGGCTTCGTTGATAACTCTATAAAGTGAAAATATTCCGAAATTACTTTATTTAAAATTAATCAATTTAATTATATAGAACATCAATTTCCCGTTTTTTTCGGCTTGTTTTAAATCATGCAATATTTAGTTATTCAAACATAGCATTTAAATGTATTAACGCTTCATATTTCACGAAAAAATCAAATATTTATCGAAACCTATCACTAAAAGTGTTTGCTATTAATAAGTGACATTTCAGAAATCCAGTGTTCATATTCAGGCATTAAAGAATATATTAATACATGATTAAAAGTATATTGGTGACTTTTAGTTGATACTTTTATTAAGCAAAAAAATAACAATACAATTTTTTATTACCAGGAACGGAGTGATGAAATCACGACCAATAAGGGAGAAATGCAAAATCTTGAATGTGATTGGTCAGCGTGATCGTATCTGCGTATTTTTCACATGCGTTTCTTCATGTATAATACGTCATGTATATGTGAAAAACAGAAATTGGCGTAACGAAACGAAATGTGCGGATCGTTTGCAGTGTGGTATTTACACGAACTATCAAATTGTACTAACTTCTTTTTGGTGAACGATCTTGCGCTCGACAAAGTCCTTGGCATAATGAATTCTTCTAGATCAAAGGACTTGCAAGAAATAGAAATTAAAGAATAAGACAAAATACATATAATATATAAATTTCATATCCATATAATTCCAAATAAAGGAATAATCGACATTTAAATTCAAAGTAAAATTTTTAAGAAATTTATGCTAAAAAAATTGATCCATTTCGATTTTTTGAACTACTTTTATAACTATATTTGAGCCACTAAACAGCTTTGGCACATTCTGAAATATATATATTCAAACTTTAATAATTTTTTGTTATGTATTAATTAAATAATTTGAAAAAATAGAAAAAAATTATAAAAAAATTTTAATGTTAAATTTTCTCATGATTTTATTGTAAAATAGATATAAAATTCTGTAAAAACATTTTTAAAATATTTGTAAAAGATAATACTAATTCAATTATTTATCTGTATCTTTAAAATTTATACCTAATTTATTAATAAAAGTTTATTGGAGCAAGACTCCATTGGATTTAAAAAAAAAATTCAATAATTTATTGAATTTCTTTTATTTTCAATTACTATCAATTAATTTAATTAAAAAATTGGTATCCAAATTATTCCATTCTTCTTGTAATATTTTAATTAATTCTACCTTGTTTTTTGGTTTTTGCTCATGTTTTCTTATTTTTCTATTCAATTCAGACCATAAATTTTCAATTGGATTTAAATCAGAACTTTGTACAGGCCAAATTAGGCTATTAATTGATTTTGATTCTTTCCATTCTTTAACTTTTTTTGCAGTATGACAGGGGCATTATCATCTTGATAAATATAATCAAAACTAATTTCATTCAAAAAGGTAAAAGATATTGATTAAGTAATTCTATATATTTTGTACCATTAATGCTACCTTCAACTACAACTAAAGGTCCTTTGTTATATTTTGTAAAAA